ATCCAGTAGTTGTTTGTCTCTCTTTTTCTCAGCTTCTTTATTTTCCATCATTTGGTCTTCTATATCACTAATTCTCTCTTCTGCCTCCTTTATCCTAGCAGGATTAGAGCCTCCATTTTTGATTGCACCTCATTAATAGCCTTTTTGATTTCGACTTAGTTAGATTTTAGTTTTTATTTCTCCAGAAAGGGTTTCTCTAATATCTTCCATGCTTTTTTCAAGCCCTGGTAGTATCTTTAAAATCGTCATTCTGAACTCTAGTTCCAACATCTTACTAATGTCCATATTGATTAGGTCCCTGGCAGTCGTTACTGCCTCTTGTTCTTTTTTTTTTTTCAGGTGATTTTTTCTGTCTTGTCATTTTGTCCACAGGAGAATAGATGAGTGAGAGAACAAAATGCTAGCAGGGTAACAACGACTTGAGAAGAATATACACTAAAGAAATCAGAAGAGACCTGAAACCAGGGGAAAAGAAATGGAAAGAAATAAAAAAGGAAAAAAAAGATAGATAAACCAACCAACAAAACCAGAATATGATCAGATATGATTAGGCTGGTGCATAGATCAGTGCCACACACTAGATTTTGGGTGTATTTTGGTCTGTTAGAAGAATGTGCCTCCCAAAATTTTAAAGAAAGAAGAGCTTATATCTGTATAAAAATAAGGGTCAATACAGTGAAGGGATGGAATATGATTGTAAAGATGAAAATTAAAATAGATTTTATAAAAGGAATTGATAAGTTGGTTGTAAAAAGAAAAGAGGATTTAAGAAAAAGAAAAGGGAGAGAATGTGATCAGGCAGGAGACTAGAAAAAGCCATACACTAGAGATTTAGGGTGTATTTTGGTCTGTTAGAAGAAATTGTATCCCCACATTTTAAGGAGAGAACAACATATATATATGTATATACACACCAAAAATAAGGTTAACTACTATGAAGGGATAGAATATGACTAAAAATGAAAAATTTTTTTTTAAAAAATGTGTTGATTTTGGTTGAAAAAGGGTAAAAGAAAAATTCAAAAAAAGAAAATTAAAAAAATTAACTTTGAAAGACTAAGAAATCATGGGAAAAAAAGCCATGAATTCTATGTGTGGTATTCCCCTAGCGCTGGAGTTCTGCCCTTCTCATTGATCGGTAACCTTGGTCTTGGCTGGCGGTTCTTGCCGATCTTCTAGGGGAGGGGCCTGTTGCCTTGGTTCCCAAATGTCTTTGCGGGAGGTGGAATTGCCCAGCTCTTGCCAGGCCGGGCTAAGTAATCTGCGCGGGTTTGCTCTCGGGAGCTTTTGTTCCCTGCAATCTTTACCTACAGCTTTGGGGGACGAGAGTGAAAATGGCGGCCTCCCAGTATCCGGCGGGAGGAGCCAAGAACTTGGGCCCCGCTCCTCAGTGCGCCCCCAGAGAAAAGCAGTCACTCCCGTGTCCCTGGTCTCCGGCCGCAGGTGTTTACATCTGTGGCGCATGACCCCGTGTGGAGTCTCCAAACCCAGCAGATCCCTGCAGTGCGCTCCCACGCCGCTCCTCCCGGGGGAAGAAGGGTAGTCTCCCCGGATCTGCCGCTTGTTGGGTCCCCGCTGGAGGAGCAGTGGCCCGACTGGGCTGCGGATCATGGTTTATGGCAACCCCGAGCTGAGAGCCAGCGCCTCGGCTCCGTCTCTGCAGCCGGCTTCCCCGCTCCCATACCTGGGAGCTCTGCCGCACTCAGGCAGCCCCGGTCTTTCTGTGACCCCTAGGGTCTTGAGACCACACTGTCCCGTGAGGGTTCCACCCCCCGCTTAGCCACTGGAGTGATGTCCCTCAGCAGAGCCGACTTCTAAAAGTTCCGATTTTGTGCTCCGCGGCTCTATCACTTGCCAGAAGCGGCCGATGGAGGCCCCCTCCCCCTCCGTCTATCCTCCCGAATATCGCCTCGGATTCACTTCTCCGCACGTCCTATCTTCCAGAAAGTGGTTGCTTTTCTGTTCAGAGAGTTGTTGCTATTATTTTCTTCGATCTCCTGTTGAGTTCGTAGGTGTTCAGAATGGTTTGATCCCCATCTAGCTGAATTCCTGGGACCAGACGAAATCCAGGTCTCCTACTCCTCCGCCATCTTGGTCCTTTCCCCTCAATGACTTTCCATTACACTTAGAATAATTTTTTTTTAAATTTAGCATGGCCTTACAGAATTCTTTGTAACCTAGGTTATACCTAGCTCTCTAACCTCATCCTTCATCATTCACTTCCACTTCCTGAGCTCTTGTCACACCCTCTACAGGGTCATTGTATTTGTTGTGTCCTCTACTGGGAATTCTCTATTCATCACTCTTCATCTCTTAATATAGATTTCAGTGCATATTGTGTCATTTCAGAAACAATTTCTCTGAATGTTATACATAAAGAGCTTTTCTTTTAACTTCTGTCATTAGTACTCAGTATTCTATTTCTCTAGTAAATTTTCTTCATAACAATTATCACTATTTAAAATGGTCTTATTTAGTATAGGAGTCTAGGTCATGTTCACTACTGTATTTCCCAGAGCATAATAGGCTCTTAATATTTGCAAATGAATGACTGCTTAGTTACTGTATCCATATTTTGTCCTTGATTCTTACTTCTAGCTACAAAAGAATCTGTTCGTGGTATTTGCCTGCCTGTCATATTTTCAAAGACAATGTAAAAATAGCACCAAACAATTAAAGAACTTTAAGCAAGGTAGTAATGTCTTAGTATCTCTTTTAATATTTTCTCAAGACAGATAACTAATAATGGCGTATTGAACTGGCAGTATGCAAGTGGATATAAAATAAGAGAAAGACTTATATTTTTACTTCCTCCTAAAAGTAGAAGACCCTGGAGAATGGTTTAGAGTTCTCTTAGGAATAACCCGTGAACTCTGCTACTTGAAAAATTAATCTAGACTTCCAATTCCAACCATGGAATACCTTATATCAGACCAATCTGCCCACCAAAACCAATCATAAAAGCTAGACAAAATGGTTTGAGGACCTTGGAGAGCAACTCAGATAGGCCTTCCTAGGAGAAAGTTATCTCCATATAAACATTGGCCTTTTCCCTGAGGGCATGTTCTAAATTCTGGTGGAGGCATAAAGGCCAAGCCTGAAGATGTGGTCACTTGGGTCAGAGGACACTATGGTCAGGTCTTAGAGTTGCCAGAGTGGCTGAGGCATGAGGGACAAAAATCTCAAGACAGGAGGAAATTGCAGAGGAAAAGCCCAATAATTTATGTACAAATTTCCCTCAAGTTGTTGACTGATTCTACAATTTTACATGCATGGGGAAGAGTCAGGGAAACCCAGCAGAAAACAGCAGATGGAGGCTCAAGGGCAAAGAAAAAAATTTAACAGCCACATGGTACTGGGGAGGCAGAAATTAGTGTTTAAGGCTGCCAGGTGACGGGCCCTTGGTACACGTCAAGCTTCCAGCTCAGATCCCAGAGGGCACTCCCTAGAAGTAGCGGTAAAATGGAAATAGACTACCCTTAGCAAAGCCTGAACCCTGAGTAGTCTACCTGTACTCAACCTGTGTTTCAGAAGAAACTTAACCTTTAGAAAGAATATAATGCTCAAAGGGTCTATGCTTTTTCATTTATATAGGCTAGCTTCCAATAAATTATGAGGCAGGCAGACTGAAAAAAGGTAGGAAGTTACCCTAGAGATATATCTACACTAAAGAAATGTACATAAGATTATTCAGTGTGAAAGTTGTTATTAATAGCAAAGTATTAGGAAAATGCTAAAGGACCACCAACAGAGGATTGATGAATTATGTTGGTTCATAACTTACTTAATTTTTTACACACGTCCTATCGGCATGTGGGGCAGGAGGGTTCTTTATTGTTTGACACTGTGCTGACCATTATTGGGCATGTTACATCTTTGGCCCTAGCACAATAAATGCTAATTGCACCTTCAAGGTTTGATACAACTTGGAATGCTCTCACACGTTTTCATATGCCTCTGAGGTGGGGCATTCCACTTGAAAATCATTAATATCATGGAATTTTGTGCCACTGTAAAAAAGAAAATTGTTTATGAACTGATATGGAAAGTCCACTGCAGTGCATCTTAAGAGTAAAAGGCAAGATAACTAGCTGTATGTGCACTTTGCTGTATTTTGTAAAATAAAGGAAGAAAATAATATATATATTTGGATTGCTTATATGTGCATAAAATTACTGTAATAATACATAAGAAACTAATGAAAGTGATTATTTATGGGGCCTGGTGGGGTGAAGAGAAATGAGATTTCTGGGGTGAAACATATTTACTGTATACTTTTCTATATTGTTTTGATTTTTAAAACTACCTATTCATAAAATTTTTAAATAATAAAATAAACCGTTAGATATAAATAAGCTATTGTGTAAAATATAGTAATTTCTAAGAGAATGAAAGTTTATGTATTCATTAAAAAAATGTTTTGGTCTTTTTCCAATTCTGTCTCCTTTTACCTTTGCTTTCATTCAGTGGAGTAGGGCGAAACTGGGGCTGGGCATCTGCAGGTAGCAGCATTCTTGCTGAATTTGGTACACTGCATATGGAGTTTGTCCACCTCAGCTACTTAACAGGGGACCCAGTTTACCACAAAAAGGTTAGTTTTCTTGCCTTCTTTTCTCTGTTTATTATAGAAGAGTTCTTTAAGATTTACCAAAAGACTTGACTAATGCTTGGAAAATGTTCACCTTTCTAGAAATGTGTTTATCAGGACTCTGGCTCTTTTATTCTTTTTAAATTATCTAAATAAATATCCTTTCTATTTAAAATATTTACTGTTATTTGAGAAGTTGTAAACATTCGTAGGTTTTCAAAAATTCTATTCTATTCAGAATTGTGCTGCAGTGTTCCTAGCCAGCATGGGAAGACAAGAAAAACAACATGAACAAAAAGTTAAAGAATTGATTGGATTGAAAAGGATGAATGGAAAGAGTAATTATGCACAGATTACATGATTATTTACCTAAAATATTAAGACAATTTGTATTTAAATTATTAGAAATAAGAGCATATATATAGTTTTGAATAAAAGATCAATACAGATATGAAACATCAACAGCATTTCTCTGCACCAACTACAACTAGCAAGAAAGTATCACTTTCCAAAGACATATGTGGTAGGGACAGGAGTTTAAGTTTCCTACAAATAAACCTAACGAAAGAGAAATGAAGTTCAAAACAATTAAATGACACCAAAGAGGAGAGAGCAGAGAGGTATGTTATGTTCATGTAGAGCTAAAGAATATCATAAAAATTTTAGTCTTCTCCAGATAGATCTGTAGCATCAGTTCAATGCCAGTCAAAACTCCAGTGGCTTCTTTTACAAAAATGAAACTTGGTAAGACCCTTGTAGAATTTATATAGAAGAGAAAAATTCAAGGCACTCCTGAAGAAAAACATGTGGAGTGGGTTTGTATTACCCAGTTTTTGACACTCACAGTGAAGTATTGGTGCATAAGACAGACTGATGAACAGAACAAACATTCCTTAAATAGATCCATGTGGAAACATTATGCAAGGGTAGCATTGTAGATTATAACAATTCTAGGAGCATTAAAGGCTTATATTTAAAAGACAAATGTAGTAAAGTTTAAAATACATATACCCTGTGGTCCAGCAGTTCCATGTGCATTTATGATGTGCATTTACATCATATACATGGAAGCATTGCTTGTATTAGCATTTTAAAATTCAATACAGCGGTAAAAAGTAAAGGAATTATAGTTACATTTATCAGTTAAAATAATATAATACTGGGCGCCTGGGTGGCTCAGTCGGTTGAGCGTCCTACTCTTGATTTCAGCTCAGGTCATGATCTCAGGGTTATGAGATTGAGCCCTGAGTTGGGCTCTGCACTGGACATGGGAGCCTGCTTGAGATTCTCTCTCCCTCTCTATCTGGCCCTCCCCCCACCTTTAAAAAAAAAAAGACACAACTTTTTAAAAAAATTTAACACAAGCAGAACTGAATAATATGCTTTGTTTAGAGATTCCAAAGTGATTTCAGTAGAGTTAAGACAATGGTGAACATAAAATTCAGGACTGTGCATATAGCCATTACAAAGACAGTGATGTGTGAATGCATAAGCAGAGCAGCAAAGGTGTTTGTAGTGTTGTATTTCTTAAATTAATCTATATATATAGTCCTTTCTGTGTATGAACTGTTTCATCAGTTGAGAGGAATTTTCAGGTAAAGACAGCAGTGGAGCCAGACCACAGAATTTTTTCCTTTCCTGAAGAGATGAACAATAACAACAAAAGTAGTAAATAAAGACCAGCAAAAATTTATCAACAGCAATGAAATGAGGAAAGGCTGCAGTGTCGTGTCACTAGCAAGTGACAGCCAAAAAAAAGAAGTAAAAAATTTCTGGTATGGTACTTAAGTCTGTTTCTCACCTTGTCCTGAGTCCTTACTGGGCAAAGAAAGCAAGTCAACAAATTCCTGGTACTTCCCATTAATCTCACAGAAGAGACCAATGCCAGGGGTGTTAAATATACAACTGTCCATAGCTCTAGAGGGGGTTCCCTCCTCTATCCTTCTTGAACACTAGTACTCCAGATCTCACATTGTGTTCAGGGGGGAGGAAAAACCCCACTCCCCAGATGCACAGTAGGAAGGAATTCAGGGACAAGTCAGCTGTGCCATATCGAATCAAAGTCCAGGTCAGAACTGACCCTGTTCATTGGGAGCAAGATGAAAAGGAAAAGCATGGCAGGTACGCAAACAATACTGCAACGTGGTGGATAAAAAGCATGGTGGTAAATAGCATGTAAAAGACTGATAAAGGACCCTGTTTCAAATTTTATAAAGTCACCGTAATTTATACAATAATAGCAGTTGAACTCAGTAAAATTAGAACTCAAAACAAATCATAAAATGATACAAAAAGATTGTGGAACTGAAGAAACAAATTGAGACCTTAAACATTATATTTCTGTAATGAATAAGTAAATGAAAAACAGCAAAAGTGACTGTACATAATTGAAAACCAATTTACTGACATGGAATAAAGGCAAGAGACAATCATAGTAGAAACAAAGAAAAAGCATAAAGAGTTTAAAAGCGTGATAAATTTGCAAAATGAAGGTCATCTAGCATAGTATTTCTGAAGTGGAAGACCTAACACACAGGACCTTCCCTGAAAGGAAGGAGAAACAGAACTGTAAACTCCATTTTTAACAAAATTAAGAGATACTTGATATATCACATCACAAAATAGCAAGAAAGTTTGGCATAAGCCATCAAGGGCAGAGAGGTTTGGGAAACAAGAGAGGATATTTGTGGTTGCAGATTTCAAAAATAAAAAGGCAGTAGACTACAGTTCTCTGAAATCAGTGGTATGTCTTGAGGTACAAAACCAAAGTCCTCATGAGCAACATTGAGCACAGGGTCATGGGTTGATGGTGGGTGTGTCTTTGGACCCCACTAAACCCGGTATGTTGAGAAGCTGGAATAACAGAATTCTGAGGAAATTCTGGTGAGGGAAGAGAATGAATGGCAGATTTTCTTTTATGAGCAGTGCTGCATGGTTAGTGTCAATTATCTGGGGAGAAGCAAATCTATGTCAAACTCATGTGTGAATAGCTGGTTCAGGGAAAATAGTAGTGAGCAATTGATCAAAAAAGAACAAGGGTACAATTTATACAAAGATGTTATCAGAAAAAAAGAGGGAAGGAACGTGATATACAAGTGATAACCAAAAGACACCTCTCAGAAAATAGCAGTTAAGTCCTGACCAAACATCACCATGAGAGGGGAGATGATGGAGCCCTCCTCTCTGTAAATCAAGTATATCAACAGAAATACAAGTGCTCAGAGACTGTAAGATGTGCTGTCAGTAACAAATTACAAGAAAAAGTTATCACCAAAAATGAAGGCCAAATTGGAAGCAGTACAAAGGAAGTGTTGAATGTATAGTGATGGACTTAGAAGACAAAATTGAGAAAAGCTAGTAAAGGTATAGACATTAGAAAAGAGAGGGATAAAAAGATTCTGAGAGGAAAGATAGCGGTGGAAGAGGCAGAGAGGATTCAATGTGTGCATAATTTTTAGAAGACAAAGGAATGCAATTTTTCATTTTTCTTAACAGCATCATTTCAAACTGACTAGCCTTGATTCACGGAATTATTCAGACGGAGATTGTCATACATAGAGCTGGTCTCAGCCTTTAAAGACCAGAAGGAACACAGCATCCCTGAGCCCATTCCTAAAACCGCCTGATTTCAGAGTCCAGCCAAAGGGAAGATGACTGGGACCTTGTCGTCAGAGGATGCGTGCTGTGCTCAAGCCCAGAAAATAGTGAAGTAGATGTTTCCCCAAGTCATGTATACCAAGCAAGTTATCCTCCAGAAGTAAAGAAAACATTCTCAAATAAGAATACCAGGAATAGAATACATTTGTGCCTTTTTTTGTAAGCACGGACAAAACCCATCCAATCTATAGATGAATGCAGATAAAGTCCTTGGAAAAGTTTCCAGCTTTTTAGTATATTTTGATTTTTTTTCCTTCTTAGTGTTAGGGAGATCTTTTAGGGATCAGAATTTTTGGAATTTTGGGAATTTAGGGATATCTATTACGGAATCAGTATTTAGAGTTCAGCAGTTCAGTTTTTCATCTATTAAATTCAAATTTATTTTAAATGTCCTTTTATGTTTCCATTTCTATGAAATTATTTCTGTTCTTATATTTAGATATGTACATAGTGAATATGTCTGGAATGATATCACTGATGTTTCTGATGGCTATTTCTGGATAGTAAAATGTTGGCATTTAAATTGGTTTTTCTTGTGCTCTTTTCTTCATGTTTTTAATTTTTATTTGATCTTTATTTAGTGATCATATATAATCTTGTAAAAATAATGAATCAGTTATAAAGTAGAAGCCTTTCCTGACCACCACACATGCAGAAAAAAAGCAGGGGGGAGATGGTGTAGGTTCTGAATGAGGAAAACCCACAAAACCTAGATTAATATAAAGCCTTGATGATACTTATTTTATTAATTGCATTCTTTATTGTGTTAAGGTAATGCACATTCGGAAGCTCCTTCAGAAGATGGATCGTCCAAATGGTCTTTATCCAAATTATTTGAACCCAAGAACAGGTCGCTGGGGTCAGTGTAAGTATTTCTAGTACAGCTGATGCTATGTTAAAAGATTATTTGTCTGAAAACTTGCTTGATGTGATGAAAAGTACACTACATGTAGGGTTAGAATCCCTCAGCATTGAACTTTGTGATCTGTTAGTGCTGTTACCTTTGACAAATTTCTCATTTTTCGGTAGCTTTTGTTTTTCTACTTGTAAATGCATACCAAATAACCTGTGTCACAAGCGATATTTTATTTCATGTATGTGAAAGTACTTTGTTAAAATATAGTGCGGTCTTTGCGAAGGGTTGCCCCTATTTATAAACCATATCTTCATGTAAATAGAGCATTGCTTGGGATAGGTATTTATTAAAGAAATATGAAGAACAAATGAGTATCTTAAATGATTAGAAAGGAGGGCAGTTGCTCTTGGGCAAGCTTTGTGCCGTTATTTTAACAATAGATATCAGGGTCTTTTATTTATCAGGCTCTGTGCTAAGTTTTTGGATGAAACTGGAGATGGGGAAAGACCATATAGAACTTGGTTGGATTTTGGGGAGCTCCCAGGCCAGCAGAGTAAACAGACACACTTAAATGTAGTTGGAATAAGATGTGACAAATGTTATGGTAGAGGCATGTACCAGTTGTCATGTGAGACTGGCAGAAGTGACTTCCTCAATGAGGAGAAAGTATTTTGCTTGGGGCGAGGGTGATCTTCTTATTAGAGCTTTAAAATTGATCTTTGAAGGAATAGATTTTTAAAATATAATAATAAATATTTGGAAATGTGGAATGTAAAGAATTGAAATAAAATATGGGTTTATGAATAGTATTCTCCCTTAAAAGATAGGAGAACTGGAAGAAATACTAGAAGGTGTAACTTTCCCCCAGGTATAACATGTTTGGATTATTTTTGAAACTAATAAAATCATAATGAAATAATAAAAAAGAAGTAAAAATAACAGCCACTTAATCTGTCAGTGAGAAATTATGCTGTTGTTTGCTACCAAGAATAGGAAAACATTTGTCATGGAATTTGTGGGGGCTCCATCCAAGGAAATTGTCCTTTATTTTGTGAAAGGAAACGATTTGGTCAATACAGTTATGTCTTTCATGGATCTGGGAATAGATCTCAGTCTTTGGCTCCTCTTATGTACTTTTTTGAAATTCTTTACATGTAGCTTATTTTTCTCTTTATTTTGAGGAAAATATAAGGGCCGTGCCTAGACTGAGTGAAAATGATACTTTTTGGAAAAAACAAGCCCAAGGGCAGCATTTCTAAAATACAAAAATATACTTTTCTTATTCCAGATAAGGATGACTGGTTTGGATGTCTTCTTAGTAATTTGGGTGAATTTTATTGTATACTTCACCCCCTAGAGTTTTATTAAAATAGATTTGGGAATATTCTAACAGGAAAAAATTATGTTTGGTCTTTCTTTATGTCATATGCCAGTGTGTATTCTATAAGGTGAAATTTAAATTTAACTGTAAAAAATAACAGTATGAAAATACTAAAAAGTGAGGTTTTTTTAATAATCAGGAAAGCCTTCTCTGTAAAGAAAAAGATTATCCGTTTTTGCTATATATAAACACTAATCTCTTATATTTCATAACAAAGGCAAATAACTAGCTAACGAAATACATTTGAATGTATTTGGAAAACAGAATTTTCATATCCTCTCTATCAAGAACTCTTATAAGATCATAAGAAAAAAGATCATCTCAGTAGAAAAGTTGGTTCATGAAAAAAAAATGGAAGTAAGCAGATGTTCATTTTTAACCCTGGAAGTGGTATTACTGAAGATAAATAGTACATAGAGACAATGTAATGCGGTAGCATCTTCTTTCCACTTTGCTACTATAGTAGAATGTGCGAACACTACCATCTTTGGTATCCTATTTGTAGCATCTCCACAGACTGGTCACCAGAGGTCTTTGTCCCTCTCTTGTACCACTTCACAACCACGCTAATCAAATCAGTGCAGCTTTTATTTGACTTATTTTATTGAAGTGTAGTTGACATACAATACAACAATATAATACATACAATACAACAATATAATGCAATGACCTTTGAACAACGTGGGGGTTAGGGGTAGTGACCACCTGCACAGTAGAAAATCCGCGTGTAATTTTTAACTCCTCACCCAAAAACTTAACTACTAAGAGCCTACTCTTTACTGGAAGCCTTACTGATAAACATAAACAGTTGATTAACACATATTTTGTGTTATATTCTTATACAAAAAAAGTAGCTAGAGAATATATTAAGAAAATCATAAGGAATAGAAAACAAATTTACAGTATTATACCTTGTTGAAAAAATCTGCTTGTAAGTGGACCATGCAGTTGAAACACATGTTGTTCAAGGGTCAACTGTCAACTATTAGTTTGATAGATATATCCAGATATACAACCTAATGATTCTCGATGCAGCTTTTAAACAGAAGACACTGTTCATTATCTATTAAATTAATAAGGGAAATGGACACATCCCTGTACCCAGAGCTTCAAAAAAGTGTGAAAATTTGTATGCCATTTGAACCCGTGACTCATTTCTACATATTTATTCCAAAGAAATTTACACAGCTATGTATAAAAAGTTTATTTACTATACCTTTGAAGTTATTTATAATAGGAATAATTTGGAGACATTCTAAAGCAGTCTTGTCCAGTAGAACTTTCTGTGATGAGGAAAATGTTCTGTATGTGTGCTGTCTGTATAGGCGTCAGTAACCACATAGGGTGTGGGCATTGGAGATGTTGGTGTGGTTGTAGAACTGCATTTTAATTAATAACTGCTTGTGCCTAGTGCCTAAGGCCTGGACACTGCAATTTTAAACCTCCTATGAAAGAGATTTGGTTAAATAAATTATAGTACCTTCAGATGTAATATACCATGCAGCCATTAAAAATTGTTACAGAATACTTAACATAGATATATGTTATTTCTGTTTTTTCCTTAATATTTGTTTTTATTTTCTTTTTGTTTTCCTTTATTAGTCTAAATTTGATAATGAAAATCTATCACTTTTGAAGTAAGATTAAAAACATTTTTAAAGCAGTTTTATTGATATATAACCCATATACCATGGAATTCACGCAAAATATACATTTGAATGGTTTTTAATCTATCCACAGTGTTTTGTAACCATCACCAACATCAATTTTAGAAGATTAACCCCCCAAAGAAATCCGGTGCCATTTAGCTATCATCTACCTATTTGCTGGTTCTCCCACCCCTTGCAGCTTTAAACAACCACTATCTACTCTGTGTCTCATAGATTGGCCTGTTCTGAACTCTTCATATAATTACATATTATGTGGTCTTTTGTGATTGGCAAAATGTTTTAAAGATTCTTCCATATTATAGCATGCATCAATATTTGGATTTTTTTAATGCCTGAATAATATTCCATTTTATGGATCTACCACTGTTGTTTATCCGTTCATCAGTTGATGACTTTGGAGTTATTTCTACTGGGTTTTTTTTCCCCACTATTATTCCTTTTTTTAAGTTGATTTGTAATTGACATACAATATTTTTTTTTGACATACAATATTATATTAGTTTCAGGTATACAACATAGTGATTCTATATTTTTATATATCACCTTGATAGGTCTGGTTACCCTCTGTCACTATACAAAGTTATTACAATATTATTGACTGTATTTCCTATGCTGTGCATCATATCCCCATGACTTGTTTATTATGTAACTGGCAGTTTGTTCCTCTTAATCCCCTTCACCTATTTCTCCCATTCCCCGAACTCCCTCCCTTCTGGCAGCCACATTTGTTCTGTGTATCCATGAGTCACTTCTTGTTTTGTTTGTTTTTTTAGATTCAAGATAGGAGTGAAATTATACAGTATTTGTCTTTCTCTGTCTGACTTATTTCACTTAGCATAATACGCTCTGGGTCCATCTATGTTGTCACAAATGGCAAAATTTTATTCTTTTTTTATGGCTGAGTAATAGTCCATTGTATTATATGCACCACATCTTCTTTATTCATCTGTCAGTAGGCACTTAGGATGCTTCCATATCTTGGTGATTGTAAATAATGCTACAGTGAACATAGGGGTACATACATCTTTTTGAATTAGTGTTTTTGTTTTCTTCGGATAAACACCCAGAAGAGGGATTGCTGGGTCATATCGTAATTCTATTTTTAATTTTTTGAGAAATCTCCATACTGTTTTCTATAGTGTTGCACCAATTTACATTCCCACCAATAATGCTCAGTGGCTCTGATTTCTCCACATCCTTGCTAACACTTGTTGTTTCTTGTCTTTTTGAGAAGAGCCATTCTGACAGGTGTAAGCTGGTATCTCATTATGGTTTTGATTTGCTTTTCCTTGCTGATTAGTGATACTGAGCATTTTTTCATGTGTCTGTTGGCCATCTTTAGGTCTTCTCTGGAAAAATGTCTGTTCAGGTCCTCTGTATATTTTTTAACTGTGTTATTTGGGGTTTTTTTTTTTGTTACTGAGTTATATCAGTTCTTTTATGTGTTTTGGATATCAACTCCTCATCAACTATATCATTTGCAAATATTTTCTCCCATTCAGTAGGTTGCCTATTCATTTTGTTGATGGTTTCCTTCATGGTGCACAAATATTTTTAAATATAAATAGGATGTCATCTTCCACATCAAAATCTTAGAATACTGAAAAAAATTAGTCAATGTTTGAGACTTGCTAGTCTTTGAAATGATGAACAGTAGAGCATTGACAGCATCTTAATTATTAAAAATACAACTTTTTCTCATTAAATAAACGGTATTATAATAGAAAACTGGATAGCTACAAGGAAAAGAATGAAATTGGGCCCTTACTTTATATCATATATAAAACTTAGCTCAAAATGCATCACTCTAAATTTAAGAATGAAAATTATAATACCCTTAGGAGGAAACAGGGAAAAACCTTCATGACCTTGGATTTGGCAATGGTTTCTTCAGAAGCAGAGGCAACAAAAGAAAAAAATAGATAAAATTGGATTTTATTAAAATTAAAAACTTGTGT